CATTTTTAAGATTTGCATGACAGCTGGATACAAATAAAACCATCAATGGTGACAACGTTTGTGACAATAAATACTACTTCCTTTTCAGGTAACTGTATCCGTGTCACAGCAATCAGTCCCACAAACACAAATGCTGCTGTTGACAAACATTCCCTTTTATAATATGGTTTTTTATGAAGCCAGTCACATAAAAAGGTGATTTATATCATCAAACTGACTTGAATTTAATAATATTTTCACATTCACTGATATTTTAATAGAGCAAAAAGTAGAAAAAATGGGAACATTAATAATTTAGACAGTTTGGGGGAGTATTAAACAATTAAGAGGAAGTTATATTGACAACAATAATTAAAAATTCTTAACGTAGTAAGAAATGTATCAAAATAAATGATAAACAAGACAACACATTTTTCCATCCTGAAGCATGATTTTAAAGAGACTTTATATGCATATTTTTAAATTTAAGAAAAGATGTGGCAACATTTATTCATTCATCCAATCTTATTCTGGTGCCCCCCTTTCTGACCGCCCCCTTTTAAAGCCTCCTGGAAGCACCCCTGCACACAAGGGAAGTGACATTTTTAGTTTTCTTTCTTCATAGAAATTATTCAATATCTAAACTCATTAATCCATTATCAGATGAGCTATTATCGCTTGTTATTAATGTATTACTTCTGATTGTGGAGCATCACTGCTTTCAAAGAGGCGCAGCTGATTTCCATCATAAATAAGCTGCAGGATGAAACCAGAGCCGCACACACCAGTTCCTTCTCTGGGTTCCTCTTTCTGGGTTTCGAGGCTAAATAAAACCCTACATCTCAGTCCTAAACGCGGATTAAACCCACATTTGCTTTAGAGGTAGAAGTGTTGGTAAAATGGTTGTATTTTCTCTTTAAGGACGGGCCCTGCAGACCCAAACACTGCGCCGAAACGAGTCCCCTCCGACGGGGAGAGAGAGCTGAAACGCCCTGAAGCTTCTTCCACAAACAGCAACAAAACGCTTAGAATTAAACATCCATCATGAAACATTAGAACCGACCAGAGCTTCGCTTCACCCGGTGCTGTTACGGTATTCCTGCAAAATCTCGGCCGGCGAGCGAGCATTTCGCCACACAGAAAGTGCGTTTTTCATTTTGCGCTCACCTCATCCGGTAGAAGCGCGTCTCCTCCGGATCATGGCTGATAAGGATGAAAAAACCTCCAAATGTTTGGCGTTTATAAGCGGCTTGTGCTCATTGTCGCAGCGGCGGCTCCAATGCAGCCAGCGGCCGCTGTCCCCTCCTCTGCCTCGGCGTTGTGTTCTGTGTTTGGGTCGGAGGAAAAGTGATGTCATTGCATGAAAACGGCCGAACCCGCCCCATTTTTTTCCCCTTTTCTTTTTTTTTTCTGAGGTGGCTCCAAGAAGTTGAGCTTTACTATAAACCTAGAAACTATAACTGGGTCAGAACCAGAGGTGGGCAGAGAACTGTACTCCAGTAAAAGTAGCACAACATGTTTTTACTCAAGTAAGAGTAAAAAGTATTTGGTAAAATGTCTACTGAGTAAAGTACTGAGTAACTCCTGATCATCGCATTCAAAACCAAACATGCATCAACCAAAGAAACTGTCAAATTGTCTAGAACTACCAGAACTAACATGCTGCCACCAGGAACGGCGATATTCTAGAACTTTGCAGTAAATGTGTCCAAAATGAGCGTAAAGACGAACATTCTCAAATGTTTTTTTGTTTTTGAACAGGGGAAAAAACTAAAAATATTTCCCCCTTTGTCTCATTGGGCAGTTTTAACTTCTAATTCACAGGTGGAGTTCCTCAAGGCGCTTTTATCGGTCCACTTTTCTTCATATCGACACATTTCCCCAAACTGAGACGAGGGTTTATTTCAGGTGATTAACAGTTTTACACTCACTGACCAATTTATTAGGTACATCTTCAAGGTCTCACCAGGTGTAAGACATCAACCACTGAATGCAATTACCCTGTTACAAATTTATTGCATCCAACCAGTCTATACATTTTAAAATTAAGAAAAAATGATGCAGAAAACACAGAATGGCGCCATGTTTGTTACAGGAAAACAGGAAACTGGAGTTCTGAAATGCATCCTCTCTGGAAGCCGGTTATGAAAACGATCGTTTCTGGTGAAACTTCTGCGGATCCACCCGCAGACGAAACCTAAGACTGTAACCAAAATGGAGAAATGTTGTCATGACGATGTGCTGAAGGCGGAGTCCCAGAAAAAGCAGGAGCTTCTTAAAGAGACAGAGGCCCAATTTTAAAACATCAAATTTCTTTTACATTTGATAGCTGCAGCATTTTTACAACTAGAGCCAAGTTACTTGATTGCACTATAAAACTGCACACATGGAGCAGATTTAGGAGTCTTTATAGACCCTCTGGTCTGGGAATACATTGAGATCCTCTAAGAGCAGTAAAAGTTTGGGTTTCCCTCCTGGATCTGGAAGAAGTTTGAGAAATTGATGGAAAAAGGTCTAAAAATTCTCTTCTCGCGTTTCAGGATCCAGTAGGAACCCTAGTTCCATAGCATTAGTTTCCCAGAGTGAACTGAATGCAACACGCAGCTCATTGTTGGAACTAAACAAGTCTACAGTATCTCACAATCTGGGGAGGAATTTTACAGGGCACTTAGCTGAAATCTCCTTAACGAGAAACGGCTTAATCAAATATTCTCCCAGTTTAATCTACCAGATTTAGTTTTGCTGCATAGTTGACATCTTATAGAAGCTTAGCAGGACTAAAACAATGAAAAAAAAAAAAAGAATTTTGAGGCACCTGTTAGGAACATTAGCAAAACTTTGATTATAATACAAACAATTACCAATAAAAGTTTTTTACTGGTATAAAAAACTCAGGGGCAAAAATTATAAACTTTCAATAAAAAAATCTAAAGTGATTTTGTTGTGAATATTTTCTTTTTGCCTGTTAAGCAACAATTAACATGTAATAATTTAATTAAAAGGTGAATTAAAAAGTTGAAAATATCATTTGTAGTTTATTTCCAGCAACAGATACGAAAACTGTCTTGACCAACCATGTGACTAAATCTGTTTTTTAGTAAAATATTGCTGGAGATTTGTGGCCCTACTTACAATAAATTACAAATCTCAACACAATAACAGAAAAACACTTGATTTGCACCTAAAATTTTCCATTTAAGACATAAATTGGTCATTAAAAAAACCTTTCAGAACTACTCTAGGGGCCACAAACGGCCCCCGAGCCGCCCTTTGAGCCCCCCTGCACTAAAGCAAAGACAAATACAACCAGCTGACAGCGTTTTGTTCCTCTGTCACCTTTTATTACAACAAACAAACACTTGAGTACCGCCAGGTATTTCAGTAGATCAGAAGATTACCAATTCACAGAACCAAATTATCTGGAACCAAAAGTAGCAGAAAAATAAAAAGCCCTCGGTTCATCGCGGAGCGTCGCCGGCTGCCAGGTCCAGGTCTTGGGCCGAGCTGTCGGTGGCGTCTTCTTCTCCTCCACCTACGTCTGACACCACCTGAGGAAAGACACCAGAAATAAATTAAAGCTTTTTCTACGAGAGGTCGGCCATTAAAAATCCACAGCAGTAGCGGTTCTTCTAGCCGCTTTGTGTCATGAGACAAACTGAGAATCAAAACTTTCACGAGAACTGAAACGTGACATTTATGTTAACTAAAACATAAGTTGGTGTTTTTCTGCTCTGGTTGTGCGACTTTAATAAGTTTGGTTCCTCAAGTCAAACACAGCATTTAAGTTATTTTAGCTAGCCATTAAAAATCCCCATTTTTAAGACAAACCTCTACATGTCGACACATTTCCCTTTAAAAGAAGAGCTGATGATCAGCAACAACAACTCTTGGATTTTATGTCCTGAAGTAAATATAAAAGTAACATATGGCAGAGTAACCTTAAAACATTCAGTCAAAACAGCAGGAAAAAAAACAACAAAAAAACAACTAGACTTCAAATTACTAAGACAAAAAAACTAAGCAGAGTTTCTAGATTATCCAGTTAATCTTAGTCATCTTTAAATGCTCATTCAGTTTCAAATAGATATGCTTCTTTTGCATTATTTTTCTTTCAGGTAAGGAAAATGTTTTTTCCCCCATTTTAGTTTTCATAAACAATATTAACCTTAAAGGCAAAAGCTTAAACACTTTAGGTCCAGGATGTGTGTGGCCTGCAGAGACATTTGTGGTCCTTTTCCTGACATGACTATGGTATCATTATAAATTTTAAAGTCAGCCATCATTGCCTTGAATAACATTTTTAGTAGTTTTAAATTATTGTTATGCAAAAAAAAAAAAACAGGGTGGGGGTTATCTATACTATATTTATTACATAAAACTTAAATAACTAGAAACAGGAATGTAAATTTTTATTTTTGGCAATAGTTATAAAACTAAAAGCTTTCTTCCAAACACCAACTTTATGGTCAGAGAATGACTTGATATAATTATAGTCTGATGTGTGAAACATAAATGTCAAAGCTCTAAAACAGGAACAAAGTCATTTTGTTCATTCAAATATGAAATTAAATGGTCAAAAATAATTAACTACTTCAAAATCCATTTGTCTCTTTGACTAAGATCAAATCTAGTCCTTATGAGGAATCACAGAGGAGTCCAGATGGTTTTCACTGTCGAGTCTCAAACTGACCTGATCATCCATGATGGCGTCCACGTCTCTTTCTGAAAGCTCGTGTCCCGAGGTGTCCAGGTCCACCTGGTCCGGGTCTGGGTCCTCTCCGGTCAGGATGTCCATCGGAGCCTCGGCGATGGCTCTGATGGTCTGGTCCTCCAGGGCCAGGGCCGTGTCAAACTGCAGGGGGGACGGGGGGCCCTGCATGCCGTCCCCTTCCACGTCCAGGTCCTGCAAAACACACAGGAGCGCGTCAAGAAGACATAATCAATAAAAGAGGTTCAAAAATTTACCATCAATGAGCTGAAATGACTCGTTTTAATAATTATAGTTAAGCTTGTCACGATAAAGTTATGATAAACGATAATATTGTTGTTTTGAGACGATATTTAAGTAAAAATGATAGTAAAGGCATAATAAAGCAAGAACATCCTCAAAGCTTAATAAACTTAAAATTCTTATGAACATTTAACACTGGAACTGGAAGACATTTTAAACATTCAGAATAAACAAACAACAGAAATGACACATAAAATAAATTATGGAGTCTCTCAAAAAAAAAAAAAAAAAAAGGTGTAGTTGAGGTCAAAGCACCAGATGGAAAACCTATCATTCAGATCTTGGTAGGAAGAAAGAAAGAAAAATAATAAATGATGCAAATGGAAATGATTGAGCTTGTTTTAATTTATTGTGCGATTAACTGATTAATTGCGACAGGCTTAATTTTCCCTGTTTTATGTTTAAGGAAATGTCCAATTAAAACAAGTTAGCTGCTGCGCCGTGCTGCAGGCACCAAGTGTCAAAGATGGATTAACTGCAAACAATGTAGCTCAATTCGACACCTCAGCGTCGCCCCCTGCTGCTTAAAAAGGGAATCAACTCTAGACCTGCCAAGGATTTATGCCAACTCATTCAATTTGATACATTAAATGCCAAACTAATTTTATTAATGGTTAGCTTTTTATTGTTTTGGTTTGTGAAACGATTCTGTTAGCAGCAAACGTTTGTGTCATGTGCGTATCGGCAGAGGTCAGACGTACGTCGCTGAACTCCAGTGGGAGGCTCTCTGTGGGCTGCAGCTCCGCCGCGCTCAGGTACATGTCCTTGCTGGACGGGGTGAAGTGCTCCTGCGGCGGCGGCTCCTGCTCCGGCTGGTACATGGGCGGCGGCAGGGTGAGGTGCAGCGGGCACCGGGGGTCGTCCGACTGACCCATGTGGACGGTCCGGTCGCAGGGAGCGTCTTTCAGCCCCGGGCAGATTTTAAAAAGCACCTGGTTGCTGTCCTGGCAGATGTCTGAGCAGCGACTTGTTAAGGAAAATTAGAAGGAATTCACACAGAAACACGATTAAAAACCCAGAAAAAAGCGGAAAAATACACAAAACTGCAAACCTATAGACTATGATGTGATGTGGAGATAAGTTTATGTTAAATTTTCAAACTTTTATAGCACCACTTTGGAGATACAAACACAAATGAACAAAAGAAGATAGTTTTAATTCTCCATAATGAGATACTTTAGATCTTACCGTTTTTAAAATAAAAAAATAGGAATAATTTCAGTAATTTTAATTAACCTAAAACAAGAAAAGTTTGATTTGATTAACTTTAGACAGTGAAAAAAAGTTT